CCCGCCGAGGACGCATGCGCGGGAGCCCGCCGGGCCCCGGGAGCACACGAAACACACCCTCCCCCTGCCCCCACCCGGAGGCTGTTCCAGACGCTCGGAGGCTGGCGCGTGCCTGCAGCGATTTCCAGAAATGCATTTGAATAGGTCCGCTTCCAGATCCCGAGAAACAGCCCGAGGGGAGAGCAAGGGCTGAAAACTCTGCGGCTCCATCCTTGGGTGCAAAGGAGAAACCACAGCGGACTTGTCAGCGGGTGAGTCACGTACAGGACGAGCAGAGGGCTTTGGCGGAAGGCTACTGATGAGGGTGGCCGGTGGGGATGCAGGGGTGGCCTCCACAGCCAGCAGAGTGTGCCCCTGCGGCCCGCTGGGCCGCCTCCCGGTGTCTTTCATCCGCGGAGACGCCAGTTTCACACCTTCCCGCGCACCGCCTCCCCCGCATCTCGCCAGTGGACCTAGCAGAACAACTGCTGGAGCAGGGTTTTCTCATCACACCCTTTTCGTGACGGTCCCCCAGCCTCAGGACCCCCCAGGGGCTGCGGGAGCCAGGGACAGCCTCTCAGGGCCCCCCAGTGCCCAGCAGTTAGCCCCCCAGAGTTTCTGGCGCCTCCGACACGGCCTCCCAGGCCTTCGGTGCTCAGTTTCCCCATCTAGGTTACTTATCGCCACCATCTCTTCCCGCTGTATCCTCAAGGCCACTGTGCCTGAGGGTAATTCTACCCGGGGACACTTTGCCCCAAATTCTGTCCCCCGGCCCTCCCAGCCAGTCCCGGGCAACCAAATCCCTCCCCCGCAGGGAGTCGCCCCGAGTATCCGCCCTCGCCCCAGTCCTCCCCCGCCGCCCCGCCGCGGGCTGTCAGGGTGTGGCGCCCGCAGACCCGCCCCCGCCGCGGCCAATCAGCTACTGCCGCACACCCCCCGCCGCGGCCAATCGGCCGCTGCAGTGCGGCTCCACCCCTCACCTGGAGGGGTTACCCCCGGTGGACCCCCGCCCCACCTGGGGGGCAGCCAGGGCCCCCACTTCCCTGGCTGGGGGCCTTACGCGCCCGGCCCGCTCCCTCTCCCTACTCCCTCGGCAAACCCCGGGGTCCCGGCCCCAGCCCCCCCAGGCCCCCCAGCCCCCCAGCTCTCTGACCTAGGAGGCTCAACCCCAGCTGCTCCTGCCCTCGGGACTTTCGGGGCCCTCCACATTCCCCTAAGGGCCAAGAATGAAACGGCGGCCCTGCTGCTGCTTCGCCTCCATCATTTCCTAATTAGCGCTTAATTTACTCTCCCCCGCGGGGCTTCGCCCCGGCGCGCGGGAAGGCGCCGCGCGCTCCGCTTCTCCCCCGGCCCCTGTTACCGGTCCTGCCCGCAGCCTCCTGCCGCGAGGCCTGCCGGGAGTTGTAGTTCCCCGGGGAGGCGCGGTGCGGGGCCGGGCGCGAGCCGAGCAGGTGCGGCAGGGGTTCCAGAGCGCAAAAATAAAGGTGGTGATGCCCGCCTCCTTGTGGCTGCAAATTGCTTTTATGGACCGCTGCAGGGTGGTGTGGCACAAGGGTAAGTAGGCTTGGTGACGGCGACGAGGGGAAGGCAGCCCCCGAGAGGCAGATGATGGAAGAGGCATTTTGGAGACCGAGGCCATGGAAATCAGGAAGGAATCGTGGGGACCTCCACGGGGGTGCTCCCATGGGCTTTACACCCATACCCCAGCTCCGCACCCCCAGTCACAAGCAGCTCAATCCCTGTGCAGAAATTGGCTTCAGAGGCCAGGAACACAGCCGCGGCTCCCACGTCAGCTGGCTGGCCCATGCGGCCCAGGGGCTGGGGAGAAGCAGGGGGCAGGAGGTCACGAGGGGTCCCTGCCTGGCCGCCGCACCCCAGGCCATCCCATACCACCTGGATGTGGATCCCACCCCTACCTGGGCCAGTGCACCCTCTCGGACTGTGGCCGCCGGGTTTGGTGTTAAGCCTGCCAGCTCCTCCCACAGGGGCGTCCAGATGTTTCCTGGGGAGATACTGGGAGAAGGGAGAAAGAATCAGGGACGGGGACTGCGGGGCAAACACTCCCTCTGGGGCCCACCCCGCCACCCCAGGGACGCCAAGCTCCAATCGACCCTTCCCTCGCCTCCCTCCAGAGGGTGCTATGCCCACTCACCAGTTGACTCGGACTCCATATTGACTCTCATCCAAGGCCAAGGCTTTGGTCATGGCGGTTACTGCCCCCTGCAGAAGATGGGGGCCAGGGAGAACGTCCAGTCCAGTGAAAACAGGTCTCCCCCCCTCCTCTCCCCACAACCGGATTTGTCAAGCAGGGAGGGGCACCGCGTGGGAAAGTTCTGCCTCCCACGCGGGCCTCCTTGGCAGGCGCCGGCAATAACAACTTGCACAGGTTGTTACGCCTCGGAGCCGAGGTCCCAGGTAGGGCGTGAAAACAGGGCAGGGGCGGCTGCTGGCATACCTTGGTGGCCACATAAGGGACTGCCTGCGACTGGCCAATGGCCCCAACCAGGCTGGAGACGTTGATGACATTGCCCCGGCTCCTGCGCAGGTGGGGGAGGGCAAGCTGGGGAGACAGGAAGCAGGACAGGCTGCCAGGCCTGGATCACCCCGAGACTGGAGACTGAGACGGTGGCTGATCTCCCGCCCTGTCTGGGCAGCAGCCCCAGAGCTCCAGGACCTGCCTGCTCTGACTGCGCAGGGCTCCGGTTCTGGAGCTGTAAGGGTCTGTCCTCATCTGCAAGCGGTTCTCCCCTCCCCCTCCCGTCCCTGCTCCTGCATGCGTGTTTCATCACTCTGCACCCCTTTTCCTGGGTCTCTATCTCCCTCTCTCTGGGTCTTTGTGTTCCACAGACTCCTATCTGTACCCAGATAAGAAAATCCAAGAAACCAAGACTTATTTTGCAAAAATGGGAGCTTGTGTATTTCCATATTTTCCCTGAGAAAGCAGTTTCTCTATGTCAGGGAGCGCTCTATGGTCAGAACGTGTCGTGGGAGGCTCTCATGAAATGCGCCCCATATTGGGCCTCCCTGGTGGTGCGAGGGGTTAAAGCGCAACACTTCCAAGCTGTGGGCAGCCACTGTAGCACAAGGTCAATCCCAGGCCAGGGAGTGACCCCCAGGGCGCAGCAGACCTCTCCTGCCTCCCGGCTGCTCCCCTCAGCAGTGTGTCTTAGCAGTCGATCTGCCTGTTCTGCTCCCCACTCTGTCTCTGGGGAGTCCTCTCAACCCCCCCACCTCTGGCCTATATCCCAGTTCTTGTGCATAAATAAATTGTTTAAAAAAAGTATGTACCCCATATTTCTAGCAAATTCTCCCCTGCAACTCAACAGCTGCCTAGAGGTCCCTAAACTAACTCCCTCTCCTCCCTCTCACCCTCCTCCCTTTTGTTCTTTCACAACACAGATCTCAAATAAACTCAAATTCCGTCCTTCTCACTGGCTCACTGGCCGTGGGCACCTGAGCTGACCAGGCAAAGCCCATTCCTGCCTCTAAAGATGAATGAGCACAAGCCGGCTCCCCCAGGGGTTTGGGTTCTGAGAGTGGAGATCTAAATGAGCCCCTGCCTGGTCTACCCACCAGATTTCTTCCTCCGGCACCTGGAAAAAGCCTCCACCCTGTTCTCAGAGTTGCATCTTTAACCACAGCCTGCAAGGCAACCACAGGGCCTTTGCACTGGCTGTGGCCTCTGCCTGGGATGCTTTTCCTGAGACCCGCGCCCAGGGTGACCGTCCATCCATGCTTGCCGAAGAGTGAAGGGCTTCTGGGGAACATGGAAGGGCCAGTGCTAACCTGGAAAGGTGCTGGGGAAGCCTCCGCCCTCCACAGCATCCAGCCCTAGTCACACAGCTCGGCCATGAGACCCTCTGCGAGGCCAACTTCTAACAGCCACCTCCTTCCCCTGGGTCTTCCGCTGTTGCCTGATTTTTCTCAGCGGCACCGCCCACATCTAAAAAGCCATCTTATTTGTTTCTCTTTCCTTTCACCCCAATTTGACCCACAGTAGCTGTTCTATAAATCTCTCAAATAAATGAACGAGTTTCCAGAGAAGCATTGACTGGCCTGGGCCTGTGCTCAGCCCTTTACACAGAGGAGTTCCTTTTGTCCTTCACGCAACCCTAAAAGGAGATCTGGTCAGAACCTCTCTTACAGCGAGGACACTGAGGTGAGGGGGTCATGTGACGCCAGACAGAGTCCCAGGATTTGTGGTCTGAGACCAAAACCCATAACCAAGTATGACCTTAGGGCTCCTGGAGTACAATTTGGTATGAGCAATGTCAGTCTTCGTGTGCAGGGGAACCCTAACCACCTAGCCTTCTCCAGGGGACCCCACCCCCACTTCACCCTTCCCTGTGCCCCCCTCCTGCAGCCCAGGGCTCGCCCAGCCCCCACCTGGGCCCAATCCCTGCCTATTTCTCTCCTTAGTCCTACCACCCTTCGGTCACCGTCATCGGATCCTGCAGTCCATTCACTACCTGGGCGCACAATAAACATTTGTCCCCCACTCCCGTGGCCCTTCCAGCGCTCTGCTCTCCGCATTCCTTGGCAAGAGGCCTCCCTGAAGGTCACCTCGCACCTCCTGTGCTCCACACCAGGGCCTGCAGTTGGCCTGCACCTCCCCCCACCCCCCACCCCGCCCCCTGCAGACACCGGATCTGCAGCCTGGCTCTGGCTCTCCGCAGCCTTGCTCTGACCTGACCCAGTTCCCCCTAAATACTGGGGTTTCTGGGTCTGCTGAGGACGCCCTACTCTGCCGGCTTCCTGCCCCATCTCCACACCTTCGTGGCCCCGCGGGAGCCCCTGACCAGTCACCTCCCAGCATCGGCAGGTCTCAGTGCAAAACTCACCGTCTTCCCATAAAGCTGCCCCGGCCCACTCCCCACCCCACCCCGGGGCGCTCACTCCCTGAGAGCTGGTGTCTTAGGGCCTCCATCTCCCACAGTGCCTGTGCCCCATCACCAAGCCGGTCACTGGGCCTTCTGCAACCTCCCTTCACTCCTCCAACATGCAGTGACTGGCGCCTACTGCGTGCCGGGTGTTATGGTGGAGGCCTGGGAACCTGAGGAAACACAGATTTCAGCGCGCCCGCCCGCAGCACAGTTCCGGGAGACACAGCCAAAACAAAGACAGGGTGAGGCTGGCATGGGGGAGGGGTGCGGGCTCAGGTTCAGCAGGGCGCCCCCTGACTGCGGCCATGAGGGAAGGGTCAGCCATGAGGGAAGGGTCGACCTCCCTGGTGGCCCAGGGGCGAAGTCTCAGCGTTATGAGGCTGTTGCAGCCACTGAGACAGGTGTTCGATCCCCAGCCAGGGAGTGACCCACAGGGCGCAGCAGGCCTCTCCTGTCCCCCGCTGCTCCCTCAGCAGTGTATCTCAGCAGATCCGCCTGTTCTGCTCCCCATTCTCTCTGGTGAGTCCTCTCACCTCACCCGCACCATCTCTGACCTGTACACTAGCGTTAATAAACAAATCTTTAAAACAATATGCATGCAGGAACTGGGGTGTAGGCGTAGATGTGAGAGGATTCACCAGGGACAGTGGGGAGCAGCACAGGCAGATGAGCTGAAACACACTGCTGAGGGGAGCAGCGGGGAGTCAGGAGAGGTCTGCTGCGCCCCGGGGGTCACTCCCTGGCCGGGGATGGACCTTGTGCTGCAGCCAGCTTCACAGTGCTGTGCTTTACACCCTGCGCCACCAGGGAGGCCCAATAAAATAAATCTTTTTTTAAAACAGGAAGAAAGCGAGGTCCAAGAAGCTGATGGGGACCGATAAATGGAAGCCCCGAAAGCTTCTCCACCCGCTGGAGACGCCCTGCCTCCCACTGCTGGTTCCCTGCCCGCTGGGTGCCCCAGACAAGAGCCCAGGTGGTCTGAGTACTAACCGCACCTCATTTCCTTGCTCAAATACCTGCCTTGGCTCTTCCTGCTCTTGAGATAAACACCAGAGGTCTCGGCCTCACCCCCAGGTGCCATGTGATCGGCACGGGGGCCCTTCCTGCACTCCCCTCCTCTCACTCCACAGAGCTCCCATTAGTACCCGGCTGGAGAGCCCCCACCACCCTCCCCTAGTTAATCCTGTTCTCCAGAAAGCCTCCCTGGACCCCTGGAAGGAGCCAGTCCCCCCTCGCACATTCTCCCAGAAGCGATCAAGTCCTTAGCAGAGAGCACCCTCACCCACAGAGCTCCAGTCTCTGTTTGCTCAGCGGCAGCAGGTGGGCAAAGGGCATGGGTGGGTCGCAGCCAGTTGATGAGCAGGTAGATGAGGGAATGGTGAGTCCCTGCCGCCAGCGGCTCTCGGAAGCCAGGGCCCCAGAGGCCGCACCGGCGCCCTGTGCTAGCCACCCACCTCTGGGGGTCCCCCTAGCCAGGAGATTCCTGCTCCTGTTTTCTCTGGCCTAGGGAATCACAAACTTTGGGTGCTGTCAGGATCTACCCAGAAATTTTTTTTAAATTTATTTATTTATGCTTACCGAACTGGGGTACAGGCCAGAGGTGCAGGGGGTGAGAAAATTCACCAGATACAGAGTGGGGAGCAGAACAGGCAGACTGACTGAAACCCACTGCTGAGGGGAGCAGCGGGGAGACAGGAGGGGTCTGTTGCGCCCAGTGGGTCACTCCCTGGCCGGGGATCGACTCTGTGCTGAAGCGGCTTTGGCTCGCTACGTAGTGCTGCGCTTTAACCCGACATGCCACTAGGGAGGGCCCAAAGACCCAGAAACTTTGACTGAAGAAGTCTGGGATGAAGCCCCAGGATTAACATTTAAAGAGATTTCAGGGTCTCCCTGGTGGCGCAGGGGTTAAGTCCCAGCACCATGAAGCTATCGCAGCCAGTGCTGCACTAGTTCAATCCCTGGCCAGGGAGTGACCCACAGGGCGCAGCAGACCTCATCCGCCCGCTGCCCCCTCAGCAGTGGGTTTCGTCAGTCTGCCTGTTCTGCTCCCCGCTCTGTCTCTGGGGAGTCCTCACCACCTGTGCCTCTGGTGTGTACCCCAGCTCTTGTATGCATAAGTAAACATAAGTCTTTTTTTTTTAATTTAAGAAGAAATTACTGTTATTTTATGGGGCAATCTAGTGACATGTAATGTTTACAAAGTCTTAATTTTTTAGGAGATGCTTACGACAGTATTTGGAAATGGACTGTCACGGGCATTTAAGCTTTCGTTGTTTAATGTAAAATTCCATTAGCTTCTAAATTAAAATAATGCTGGGCCGCCCTCACCTCTCGGGTAGATAAAGCTGGGACTGTGCTTCTCGCTGACTCTCAGATCCGCCGCAGGACCTTCCCCGATGCCCCTGGAAACCTGCAGGTGACCCACTCCCCACCCAGGACCGTGGGTGGCCGGAGGGCCTCCCTCTCAGCAGCCCGCAGCCCCTAGCATCTGCTTCCGGAGGATGCCAACGGACCCAGGGTGGCCGTGGTCTGTGCTCTCGGTAAGAATTTGAATGATCTCAACGAGAAGGTAAGAAAATAGCTCGCACCATTGCCCTGCAAGTGTCTAAGAGAACATTCTTGTTGGCACTGATGGCTAAGTGCTCATTTTTCTATGGGGAACCCTGCCCACAGCTGCTCCCGAGTAGAGAAGCCGAAAATAAAGGGCAGGTAGCCAAAAACTAACAACGGGAAAGCTCAGGAGTGTGTAGTACTGTTATGATAATTGGGGAATGTTGAGTTATGTCAAAATAAAAATAAGCACCCTACGCCATCACTGGTACTTATGTCCTTCCTGACAGAGTTGTTGGGGCTGACAGGAGGTGACCGGGGGTGGCAGAAGCAACAGAAAGAAGAAGCGTAACAAGATGTGCTCACTGTGGGGACGAAGGTTTGCTCACTGTGGTTTCTGCCCCAGGACCTTTGCACACTCTTGGTGAGAAACACTCTGTGCCCTATTCCGCCACGTCCTTCTCTCCTACTCGAGGTTCGCCTCAGTCATCGTTTCCCCTCCTCTTCCCCCGGCCCCATTTGTACAGCCCTCCCAGGTGGCGCAACAGGTTAAAGCACAGGACTGTGAAGCTGTCGGCAGTCACCACAGCAGGAGCCCCATCCCCGGCCAGGGAGTGACCCACAGAGCACAGCCGACCTCTCCTGTCTCCCCCTGCGCCCCTCAGTGGTAGATTTCAGTGGATCTACCTTTCTGCTCCCTATTCTGCCTCTAGAGAGTCCTCTCATCCCCCCCCACCTCTGGCCTGTACCCCAGTTCTTGGTCGCATAAATAAATGAATCCTAAAAAAAATCTCAAAGCTGAGTGAGGTGGATTGGCTGAGGAAGCAGAATGGAGCCAGGTTTATGACTGACAGTAATAGCTAGCAGTGATTACGGAATCTGTGCCTGGCATGTTCTTAGTGTAGTTCATCTTATTCAAACCTGTGAGTTAGGTCCCACCATTATGCCCATTTCATGGATAAGAAAACCAAGGTGTAGAGCTTCAGTGAACTAGCCCCATGTTGCAGGTAGAAGGTGTTAGGCAGGAGGCCGCTGGTTCTAAACTGCCCCCACATGAGGTTTCTGGGGCGGTGCCTCACAGGTAACAGCATCCACTGGCCCAACAGGGGAAGGTGGGGTACACTGAGAGTTACATTTAGCAAACCCTGCCCCATGGGTCAAAGCTGCCACCTTTTTTTTTTTTTTTTTTAAGATTTATTTATTTATGCCCATAGAATTGGGATACAGGCCAGAGGTGCAGGGGCGGTGAGAGGCTTCACCCCAGACGGAGTGGGGAGCAGAACAGGCCGACTGACTGAAATGCACTGCTGATGGGAGCAGCGGGGAGACAGGAGGGGTCTGCTGCGCCCTGGGGTCCCTCCCTGGCCATCTGTTGCAGTGACTGCTATAGCTTCATACTGCTGCGCTTTAACCTGTTGTGCCGCCAGGCCCTTGCCAGCTTTTTAAGAGCAAACAGGAGTCTGGAGGTTTAAGGAATCTCTCCATATCCTGACACAAAGTGGGGGGCTCTCACGGGCACATGCCCCAGCCCTTCACGGAGGTGTGTTGCTGCGTCCTGCACGCAGGCTTTCGGTCAGTCTTAGCAAGTCAAAGGCTCAGGGTTGACCGGTTGGACTAGGGATTGCCTGTCTGCCTGGGGATGTTTTACCTAGATATCAGGCACATGTCCAGCAGCACCTGAGCTTCCAGGACTGGATGGCCCAGCCCTGCCTGCCCTCCCGCCTCGCGTCTACACTGCCTTTGCTGAGCTCCGAGCCACTCAGAGCTAGGAATCCAGCACCCACTCTCGGCAGTGGGGACCTCCTCCCCACAACACGGCCCCCACCAACTATCTTCCTCGGCTCCCTCTCATGGGGACAGGTAACAGCCCCACCCCAGTTCCCGGAGGTAGGCGTGGGGGGAAAGAACCCCTAGCTGGTCCCGCACTTGGTCTAAGAGGAAAGCCTGGCCATTCTGCCTTCAAACTGGATCCAGAGCAGGCCGGCTTCTCACAAAACCCACTGAAACGGGGTGCCCCCCACCCCAAGTCCTCACCCTCCTCCGAAGCTGTTCCCCGCGCGGCCACCAGAGGGCGCCGTGACCCGTCCGGTTGCGCTAGTTCCTCTGCTCGGAATTTGGGGTCTTTGGGCGTCAAATCCAAACCTCTCCCTAGTTCACCAGGCGTCTTTGCCTCTTTCCTGCCCTCACCTCCGCCACTCTCCCTCGCGCTCACTCTGCCTCCATTACCCTGCCCCCGTCACGGTTCCTCCCCCTGCAAACAGCCTCACCGAGGCCCTTTGCAGAAACTTCCCTAGGGCTTCTCTCAAATGTCACCTCTTAGAGGGTCTCCGACCATGTGTACATATACATATTCATATACATATACACATACATGCGTGCATTCATATATATATACATATATACACCTACATATAAGTGTGTGGAGTGGATCACACTGACTTCTTTATAAGTGAACTATGATGTCTGGGATTTGCTTTAAAATACTCCAGAAAAAAAAAAGAAAATAAAAAACAGGGCTCTAGAATGACAAAATACTGATCATCGTTGCCTGGGGGATGCCCTAAGGGACACTTTGTAGGCTTGCAAAATGCATTAATAAAAGAATGTTCCAAAGCAGCGTTTACACCGACCCATCTCTCCTCATGCCTTTACTGTCCCTCTTTTTAGCATGGCACGGATCGCTACATTCCTACTTTGACTACCTGTTCCCACCCTGCTATCAGTTCCCCCCACATCAAGGATTTTTTTCGCCCCTGCTGTGTGCTGCTGAGGTTTAGCCAATTGCTGGTGCTAACTAAATAGCTAATAATATCTGAGGGGGGAAAATGTGTAAAAAAAGGAAGAAAAAAATCAAAAATAATTTTAAAGAAGAAAAAGAAGAATTGTTCAACGAATGAAAGACTGCAAAAGTGCACCAGTGAAAACAGACCAGTCGTATTCCTAGGGGATGGTCACGTGTAAGCCAAGACCGCCTAGCAGCGCCGTCTAGAACATCGTCTCAGAGGAGGTGACAGTTGAACTGAGCCATCTGCAGGCAGTCATGGGGAGGGTCAAAGGCAGGGAACCCCCAGCTGCAGAATCTGCCAGACAAAGGCCCGGAGGTGGGAACCATCTCTCTGACCTCCCCTCCCCCCCCAGGTCCTGAATTCCCCATGTTCAGTGCTTGGTGGAAGGGCCCAGAGAGGCCTGGTCCTGGGTGGGGGCTGGATCAGGACAGGTTCACCAAGCGCCCCTCAGGCCCCTGTTCAGAGTGACTGGTCTTGGCTGCGAGCCCTGCGTTTCTGGTCACCACTCCACCCCCATGACCTCCTACTCTGTGTACCCCCCAACCCCTGAGGGCTCAGGAATTACTCTTTGATGCTAACAGCTGCTCACAAAGCTGGCACTCCCATAACACACCCCTCTCAACACCTCCCCCTTGTTCCAAGGCCCCCCCACACCCACCGCACCACTTTGGAAGCTTCTGGAAGTAGGACCTGGGCTATGGATCCACACTGGGAGCCTGGGTTGGATGGATTGCCCCTTTTTCTTTTCTACCAAGATTGTGTCCTTTGGGGAATAGATCCAATCATAGCAAAAGATATTTTGTTGTCAGACCGAACTTCCTCTTGAGAGGCCCAGCCTCACCTTGGTCAAGGTGTATGTCCCCAGCAGGTTCAGCTCCAGCAGCTGCCGGAAGTCATGGGCGGAGGTCTCCTCAGGCCTCTGGGGAGGAGGGTCTGAGCATGGGGGTGGGAGACAAGAGAGTAGAGAGTGAGGCGTAGGAGAATGGAAAACGGGGATTCACGAGGAGGGTGGCAGACAAGGGATCAAGGACCCCAAAAAGGAAGGGAGGCGGGTCCCAAGCTCAGCTCTGGCACTTCATGACTGTATGACCTTGAGCAAGTCACCTTCCCTCTCTGTGCTTCAGTTTCCTTATCTGTAGGATGAAGACAACATCTTCATCTTCTTGCATTCAGACATTTCATGTCAATATTTACACCTGACACTTGGCACAGAAGGAGTTTGTTAAATAAAAGGAGGAATTGGGTGGGGGCGTGGGAGGATAACAGGACCGGAAAACCAGCATTCAGAAGGACCTGGGAAGATGGAAGAGTGAGGAAAATGGGTAAGATGGGAAGCGAAAAGGAATCCCTGACGGCTCTGAGGTCTTGGGGAACGAATGGGCGCAGGGGCAGAGCGGGGAAAGATGGCGGCCGAAAATGGGGAAGGTATTGAATGCTCCTCCCCAGAGACTTAGCCTTGCTTCCTTCTGTGCAAGGTCCTCTGAGAATCCAGTCTACACTCGTTATTCAGAGGGTTCAAACCCAGACGACCTGGCGGGGCGAGGACAGGCTGATCGGGGCGTCTCTGAGAGCTGGGACAGAGGACACAGTGGTGCCGGGTCCACCTTGCTGGGGATGGCCACTAAGGGCGACTCAAAATTTGGCCACTCAGCCATGCCTGCAACCCCGAAAGTGCCGTCCAGTAGAAGCCCTGGGGAAAAGAATTGGCTGCATCTATTCTTTGTCTACTTCCTTGTTCTAGAATGTAAACCCCAGTAGGACAAGAGTGTTTTATCTATTTACCTATTTCACACACTGCTAAATCCCTAGCCCTCGGCAGTATGAGGGACGGGGTAGGTGTTCCATTAATACCTGAAGGGACAGTGACCATGGCAAGGATGAACTGGTACCCGGTAGCTCTTTCAGGCTTTATAATACAAGGCGAAGCTGCAGCCCCGAGAGAGTGAGTCACATGGTCGATCTTGCCCAGCCCACAAGGACGGCTTGTTGCGTGACCCCAGTCCCATCAGTTCACCTCTCTGAGCCTCAGTTTACCAGCGGGAGGCAGGCTGGTGAAAGGCAGTCATCCCATGGATGGCAACTTCTCTTCCAAGCTGCCACACCAAACCTTTAGCCTACCTGGCGTGAGGACAGCTTCCTGGTCAGGGCCGAGAGAGTGGACACTGGCCAACTGTGGCTACTACACAGGAGCTGTGGTGGTGGCTGAAGTGGTAATGAGGCTGAGGCTGAGCGGATGGCTTCATTCCCTACTCACAACGAGCCTATAGTGAAGCTGGGGATGGGCGACCCCTTTTTAGAAATGTGGAAACTGCGGCATGAAGAGGTGTGGATTTGTGGCAGGAACGGAACAGGATTTCAGCCCAGGTCTGGAAGACTCCATGGCTTTTCCAGTCCCACCCACCCAAGTGGACAGAGAGGGGCTGGGGGTGTCAGGGACAAAGAAAGAGGAGACTGAGTCACGGGCAGTGGGGATGGGAAGCTGGGAGAAGGCGGAATGGCCCGCAGGCCTGAGACTCACGGTAGCCGGCGTTGTTGACCACACAGTCCAGGCGGCCAAAGCGGTGGACCGTCTCAGAAAGAAGTGTCTGGGGAGAGAAGTGTCTTTGAGCGAGTGAAGTTGAGGTGCCAACCTTGTGGAGCTG